TGGGTGAAAATGTCATTTGTTGGTTGCTTTAGACTTGGACTTCTTACCCCTTCAGGTTTCCTGAGTCTTATCAGATTGGCTTTAACTTTGAGGACCTGCTTCTCCTTCTCTTCTGCTACTTCCTTCTGCCTGGTCTTACTTATGCTCATCCCACCACAACCTGAACTTCTCTCCTGAATAAGGTCTGGGCGCAGGTTGATCAGCTGGTCTCCATCACTCTAGATCCCTCTTCAAGGCAACTACCCTCTATCGATCATACTCAGAAGATGCCTGGTGCCCTGGCCGGTTTGCCTCAGCAGTTGGAGCATCGGCCTGTGGACCAGAGAGTCCCAGGGGCACGTACCAAAAAAAAAAAAAAAAAAAAAAAAAGATGCCTGGTAAACTCTATGGGGAGGATTAGAAAACAAGAACTCAAACCACACAGGTGACTTGGAGACATTTCCTTATAGAGTTTATCAGGCACCCAGTCTCCTTCTCTAATTAAGAAATGGCCTCATGGTGCTTATACGGTGTTTAGATTATTCTGGCCTGGCATTTCCCCATAGTACTAAGCACAATTAGGGTGTTAATAAGTGCTTACTGATGGCATCTTCTTACTCTCTTCTTCAAGGCCCCAGTCTGGAAGAACCTGTTCTGAATATCAGCATTGCCTCCTAAAGAATGTGTACTGGGCATTAATAATGTGTTGATCAAATCCAAGGAAAAGATTAATACCATATTGCGTAGAATATATGAGGCACGTATTTATTTTCTTATTGACATCACATTGATAAGAAAGCAATGTGTTATAAGTTTAAATAAGAGTATTTTTTTCCTTTTGTGGTAATGTTAAATAACTGACAGTTTCTCAGACTTTATGAATATATGTTGCATATAGACAAGTCTTGTTTCTGTTAAATTTTAGAATGATGGTAAAAAAAACATGTTGGGTTAAAGTAAAGAAATATGCTTTATCAGGTTTATTTATTTTCTAATAAATACAACAAAACAGAGTCAGCACAATTCAATAAAAAGCATTAAATTTGGCATTTGACTGCATAGGGTTTTGACTCTGAGTTTCTTCATCTGTATGATAAAGACAGTAGAACTCATCTCACAGTATGGTTAGGAATGAATCAAATAATGATTTTGACAAAGATTCTATTATGCCGTGAAAATCATGGATACTTTCATTAAATAGTTAATATTAAATATAAACTTAAATAGATTCAGGAAGTAATGCAAGGTCTTCCACATAGTCCAGAAGACATTTCAGCAGGCTGTTGTGTTTGGGTAATCATAACAAATAAGATTGCTGGTATTTAAGGCTCAATAGGCATGGCCTAGAAAGCTCTAAGTCTCGACACCTTTAGATCTACTTTAAAAAATTAATCTGTTGCATTGTAGGATTTTCCACTATAGTGATGAATAAGTCAAGGATGCCTTCTGTCTCCATTACTATTTAACATGGTATTGGTCCACACAACTAAAGAGGAGAAATAACTAGAGCCATTAGTTGTAAGTAGGGGAAAAACGATCTACTTCCAGATGATATAATTACATATTTGGAAAACTCAAAAAAAATTAACAGCAAATTACTATGAACAATAATAGAACTTAATAAAACGGTAATTTAAGAAAGCAATTCAATAGCTTTTATGTATACAAACAATAGTAAGAATGTGTAATGAAGACTCAATTTACAATAGCAAATTAGAGAGAGAGAGAGAAAGGGAAGAAATAAACTAGGCATAAACTTAAAAATAAACACTCCAAACCTGTAAGAGAAAACATTAAGCACTCATGCAAAACACAAAAGGATGAATAAATGGAAAGACAAGTCATGTTCTGGGATGGAAAGATTCAATATTCAAAAATATTTCATATGCATTTCCAATAAAAATAAGCTTCTTTTTCGTCTTCTGGTACTAGTTGCTTATAAAGCTAAAGGAACAAACAAGCCAAATATCCAGGAAAACCCTTAAAAAGACAAGGAATACAGAAGTGGGAGGGCTAGCTAGCTCTACCAGGTATCAAAATGTACTACAAAATAATTATCTGTAAGGGAAGAGGGTAAAAAGTGGAAAAGACAGGAATGAGAGCTAAACATTCCTGAATATAGTATCTTGTTTTGTAATTTTGACTTTAGAATCATGTAAAATTTTATATAATTATAAAACAAAATACAAATTGTAAAAACAAATCTGGCAGGAGCAGGGAGGAGGGAATCAGTGGGGGAGAAAAAGGGGATATGTGTAATACTTTCAACAATAAAGATAAATAAAAATAAATAAACCCTAAAAACTGAAAGCACAATGAAACAAATCAATCTGATAGTTTTATGAGGTAGAGGTTTAATATCTTTCAAGATTTTAAAATATGACTCACCATCCATAGAGAGATACAACTTATAGAGAAAAAGAATTTAAAGATTATGACTTTAAAAATTCATACCAGAAAGCTAGGAAACTATTAAACACTATTAAGTTTATATCAAAAGAACTCAGGAGCCAACTTAAAGGGATTTTCATTGGTTAAAGGTAGGACAATTAAAGTTTTGAAAGGAATAATAATAACTGAAATACTAAAGTATATTTTTTAAAAATCCATGAATTCTTAGTAATATTGAGGGACCTCACTAGTTACCTATGGAGGACCCTGGAGAAGTAACTTGTTATTCTGAAAATTGGTACAAAGGAAGAAGGATGAATAAATCATGTTTCTGCCTTTTGTGTACAAATCACACCTTAACAAACCAAATAGTTATTAAAGGAAAAGTCTTTCTTTACAGAAGAACTCTAAATAATAAACAACAAAGAAATGATAGAATTGAAAAAAATACCATTTTGGAAGTCATAACAAAATAATGAATCTAGGCAATGTTCCTCAATGACTGTTAACACCATAACAGAGCACCATTACTTATGAACCATTGCTGCTGGAAGAGAAACCCCGAGGCTGATCAGGTTCCAACTAGCTGTTTACAGGGAATATAGAATGCTAGAAATGCTGCAGAATACACCAACGTAGTTTCTTCGATAACTAAATTGCAAGGAAAAAAAAAAAGAGGAAGCGGCAACTAACAGATTAAAGAGATTTCAGAGACATTTCAGTCTAATGCAATGCTTGAACCTTGTTTAGATCCCAACTAAAGAAAAACTAAGTGGTTTAATACCTTAGACAATCAGTTACGTGTGAATAGTGGCAAAATATGTAATTAATGAAAACTTAGTTCATATTTTTAGATATGATAATGGGTTGTGGTTATGTTTATAGAAAGATGCCTTACCCTTTAGAGATACATACTGGAGTATTTTTGGATGAAATGATATCATGTTTGGGGCAGGGCCACATCATGACTTTTGCTGGCCCTAGACACTTTTGTCTTCATGGGCTCCCTTGCACCATAATAGTTTTTTGGGGTCCTAAAATATCATTGTTTTCTGATTTGATAAAAAAAAATCAAAACATTTTATTCAATCTTGTAAGTTCATTGTTTTCTTCTGATTTTAAAAGCAATTAAAACATTTTTGGTAGACTCCTAAAAGTATTGTGGGCCCTGGCACTATGCTTGTTGTGCCTAAGGGTTGAGTCTGCCCTGATCTGGGATTTGTTTCAAAATGATCCAGTGGTGGGGAGAGAGAGAAGAAAGAAGAGAGAAGAAAATAGAAAGTTTCAAAGACAAACATTGGCAATGCTCATAGAACACTTTCCATGAGATTAGGTGTACTGAAAGGTCAACATGAATATTTGGTCTGCCTGAGTCACCTGCATTCCCATTGTGGAGACAGATGCCCCAAACTTTTGGAGTCTGAAGCCATTAGCCATCACCATTATCCAGCATCCCTAGCTTTGCTTTCAGCCTATCACAGCAACCTTTGACAACTGTCTGCTGAATGGTTTGCCCACATGGAAAAAATACCCTGGTGAAGCTGAAGGGAATGTTAAGTCTGTTTGATGGTCATGCTTCTCATTGAATGTGAATCAATCAGCCTTATAGGCTCCAATCTCCCTTGAATTTACTTAGTCATCTTGAATTGGTAGAATCAACTTGGGGACACTACCAATATGTCCCAGCTTCTGACCTTCTAAGACAGAGAGATGGACAGGCCATGGACTAGAGGCAATGCCTCCTGGAGTTTGCTTCAGCCTATTGTCTTCCATTGTTCATCCTGACTCTCACAATGCATATTTTCTTCCAACTTCTCTATTCCCATGTTATTTAAATAGCATTTGTGATAGATTGAAAAAATTGGCCACAATGCATTGCAGTTCCTTCCACCAAGAGGTGGAGTCTTATTCCTTATTTCCTCAACCCTTGAATCTGGGATGGCCATGTGATGTGCTTTGGCCAATAGAATGTGGAGGAAGTGACCATGCATGAGTTCTAAGACTAGGCCTTAAGAGACCTTGCAGCTTCTGTTCTTAGTCTTCGGAACTTTAAGGTTGCTATGTGTATCTAGCCTGCTGGATGATGAGAGACAAATGGCCTAACCACCCCAGTCCTTCCAGGTGATAGCCAGCTAAACCCCAGAAGCAGAGCCACCCTGCTCATGAGCAGCTGACTGCAAATACATGAGTGAGTCCAAGCAAGACCAACAGAAGAATGTCCTAGATGAGTTCAACTTGCCAAAGACACAGAATTTTAAGCCAAATACATGGTTATTATTTTAAACTACTAAATTCTGGAGCAGTCCATTATGCAACTGTAGATAATTGATACACCCACATTTGTGTTTTAATAACTGCCCATTGTACCCTGAAGTTATTGCCATAGTTTGTCTCCGAGAAGTCATAAGATTTGCTTCTTGACATAATAAAATTAGGATTTATCTTGTGCTATCTCATGAGCTTCAATGGCTTTAGCAGAAGAAATAGCCTCTGTTTTTTTCCAAAAAGAAACTAAAGAGATTTGGTTAAATGGTATGGAAAATGTTGGGTTTGTCAACATTCACTTGAGGAGTAAGAGGAGGGTTAAAGACATAAAAATTGCATTTCTCAGACATAGATAGATTTCTGACCTTCAGCCGGCGGTCTGGATCTCCACTGCATAGGGAATTTACGGATACTTTGAAAGATTTCCAGGCTGGGCTTAAGTTATTCATCACAACCTGAGAAGAAAAAAAGAGCGAAGTGGTGGGTAGGGGAGGAAATGCTTGGCATTTTCACAATTTAACATAAAAAATGTTCGAGAAACATTGTGGCACTTATGAAAAGGACAATTGTTTGGAACAGATGCCTTAATGAAAACCTGGAGTAGTAAATTTTTTAAGGGTGTCCACTAAATGGATCATTATAGGCAGAACTCCTGTGATCACTGGCCTGGCTGTCATTTCAAGAATGATGACAGTAATACTGTTCAGTATTACTGGGGATGACTCATTCTATATCAAAAGCGGTTGGGATTAATGAGGTGGGGCTACCTCTGGCCTCTGATAAAAGACCCTTGTTTTGCAGGACTGTCAGTCCTATGGCATAAATTTTCTTCTATTGAGTTCAGCATAGGCAAAGACTATTGGTGGGTGTGAGGGTGTGGCAGGACAATTCCACTGCTAAAGAATTAAATGGTCTTTGGTAACCCATGGTCTTGAGTTAGATCAGAAGGCAAATCATAAGAGAAGATTCTAGAAGACAAATCCCAGGAGCATACTTATATTAACTATCCTTGGAAGACAGACACAGGGCAGATCTTCAGTGTTGCAAACTAAGTCTATAATATAATGAAATGTTTTTAAAAGCAGCTTACTAATCATGAACTTGGCTAAATCCTTCCCAAGAGTCCACATGAGTCAAGTCTTATCCTGTCATTGCTATGACTCAAGTAATTCAATTTTTTTAATGTATGAGTATCAGTTCTGTGCCTATACTGTGTACTCTTGGGCAGTGGCTTCCAAAGAGTAATTCCTGAATCAGCAGGAGCTATATTACCAAGCAACTGGTTAAAAATGCAAATCTCTAGGTTATACCCAGACCTATGGACAGAAACTCAAGGGTGGGCCCCTTGAGGTGATTCTGATGCATAAAACCACTGCTCTAGGGGACATACAAATGAACTTAAATGGAATTCTGTCATATCGATTTTTTTCTTCCAATGAAGTTTTTAGTTAGAAGTTTTAACATTGTAAAAAATTTAATTCTCCATCCAAATAACATAATCATTTTATAAGTGATTCTTTCTTCAACTAGATTCCTTAATATAATTATAAATTATTCGCTATATTATGAGCTCATTATTAAATTTCTCTTAATGCATTAAAGTAGAACAAGAATGTCCCTGTGTGACTTTGTCTTTAGCTCTGATACCCTGGGAATGATCAAAGTGATAGTGAAAAGACAAGTTAGATAAAATTGTCTGGGTTAGTTAAAAATTCTCACCTTTATATAAAAACTCTAAGAAGTAAAGATATCTTATTGCAATTGTTTTGAAAAACTTAATAGCAAATCAAACTTTTAACTAGAAATTTTCTCTGAAATTAAAATGTGTGTGCACATGCCCGCGAGGATATTTCAGCATTACGTTGCTTGGCTCACTGGAAAATTTACAATCACATTGCTTGGCTCAATGGAAAATTTACAATCACATTTTTCTTTTTTTTATTATGAGACTCTAGGAACCCCTCAGCACTGTTTTTTGTTGTTGTTGTTTTGGGAGGGAGTTCTAGAGATTCTTGAGACTAGGAGGATTGAATATCAATAATGAGAAGAGAAGTTCTGTCAGGAGCGAAGGAGAGAAGGGTCTTGTGGAAAGTCTAACGATATACCATCCATCTCTGTTCTCCCTGTACTTTAAAGCCTCCATTCACTGACTACAGGAAAAGCTTGAGTAGATACCACTTCTGATCCTCCCCAAAGCTGATTGACTTCTCCTGAAAAAGTCTGTTCCACCACAGGAATCTTTATGTGTGAAAAGATTCTATTCAGTGGTGGTGAAATTGTCTCAGTTGCACCTCAATCTACTCTCCAGGGATTAAGTTTCAGAGAATCACATTGTGCTATAACATGTAGTAGGCATATGATCTATACTCAACTCCATGCAGTTATTCATTCTTTTATTAAATACTTTTACTAAATGCCAGTATGCATTAGATGGCATCCACAGACTAGCCCATTCAAGACTGTTTAATTCTTCTGTACTTTAAATATGACATGTTCTGTTCCCCTAATGATACCCGCAACTCTGTTACTTCAGGGAAATGGAACTGGATTTCCAGTGTAGAGTAGTGGGAACATGGCGCCCCCACTCTCATCCTACACGTCATGAGGGTGCCTCTATCATTACTCGACCACTGGTAACCACAATAGAGTATTCTCTCAGCTCCAAGGCAGTCATCAAAATTACCCCACTTCCTCCTTCCTATATACATTCTCACTCCTACAGAATCTCTCTCGGCTTGGCTTATAAATAACAAAATAAGCAGTAGAGATTGGGATTGGTTGTTGAGTGGTGTGTAGTAGTGGGAAGTGGGGGGTTGGATAGAGAGACATAAGGTTTGGAGTAACATGGAGAAGCAGGAGGGAAGGTGAGAGGGAGATGCAGCCAGACCAAGAGGCTGCTGAGACAGGGCAGCTGTTCATATAATAGACTTAACTGAAGTCCAGTGTATGGACTTTCCCTGGGAAGGCAGATTGCCTTTACAAATTACAGTGAAGCTCAGGATCAAACAAACTCAATTCAAACCTCAGCTGTATGCTTTGTTAACTGTGGGAACTTGGAAAGTGACTCCATCTCCCAAAAGTTCAGTTTATTCAACTGCAAATGGGGGTGATAATAAGCATGTCAAAGGATTGTTGTGAGAGGTAGATAAAATCACTTAGTACAATGCTTGGCATCTAGTCACCTTCATTAAATGGACGCTAGTATTTTTTATTTTATTTTATTTATTTATTTTTTTTATCCTCACCCGAGGACATTTTTCTATTTTTTTGTACAGATAGAGTGGGAGGGAGAGAGAGGAAGAGAGAGAGAGAGAGAGAGAGAAACATCAATGTGAAAGGGACACATCGAGTGGCTGCCACCCGCACGACCAACCAGGGCCGGGGACAAACTGCAACCGAGGTACATGCCCTTAGCGGGAACTGAACCTGGGCCTCTCTGAACTGCAGGCCGATGCTCTAACCGCTGAGCCAAACCGGCCAGGGCAAATGTAAGCTAGTATTTATATTTTTATTATTAATAAGTTGCTGGCTGTCTGCATTGAAGGTCAATAATGAAAAATTTGGGTGAGAGAGGGTCTTCTCTTCTAACATCTAAATTGAGAACAGAGAGGACTCAATGTCTGAGTGCCTAGCTACAGACATAAGAAATGTAAGGGGCCCTGGCCGGTTTGGCTCAGCGGTTAGAGCGTCGGCCTGCGGTCCTGAGAGACCCAGGTTCGGTTCCCGCTAAGGGCGCATACCTCGGTTGCAGTTTGTCCCCGGCCCTGGTTGGTTGTGCGGGTGGCAGCCACTCGATGTATCCCTTCACATTGATGTTTCTTTCTATCTCTCTCTGTTCCTCTCTCTCCCTCCCACTCTACCTGAACAAAAAATGGAAAAATGTCCTCGGGTGAGGATAAAAAAAAAAAAAAAGAAATGTAAGGGGTTTCTCAAAACAGGTCAGTTTATCATTTTGGGAGACGAGATGGCATAGCTGAAGATGATCCTTCTTACCTCAGTTCGGTGTACAAGCTGCTGAGTTGCATCATCATTCATACGAAAAATTTCCAGAAATGGGTCAGATTTACTGAAGAAATCCTAAAATAGATAAACAAAAATGTGTTGTTTTCCTACCTCTGCACAAACACATCTGGTTCAGCCCTGGATGAAGTACCCCTCGATCTGACCCTTCCCTGTTTTATTCTTCATCCTGTAACCCAACCTCGGTTAGAAAGAACTGCTCTGAACTCCAAGTCCTTTGAGAAGTAAGTACTTGGTTGAGATTCAAAGTATTCTTCAGAGATCAATTCAAATGACAGTTCTTTGGGAAGCAATGTAGCTGCTGTCTTCAACATGTCAATGATAGTTACTGTAAAGCCTATGTCTGATGTCTACAATATCTGGATCACCTATGGGTCTGTTTCTATTATCTGTTTCTTGGTCCTGCCTCTTGGTATGCTTGTTAATTTTTGATTGAATACTAGACACTGTGTAAAAAAAAGACTATCAAGGCCCTAGATGAGTCTTTAGCTTCTGGCAAGCAATTAAAATAGGGGCAATTACCTGAATCCAATTAGGACTGAGCCATTTAGAGGTTGGTTTCTGCTAAAGGCCCCATCTACTTCTGATTTCTTTACTCCTTTGGTATAGTCCTTAAAGGGTTCCAACTAAAAGACTGAGTATTATGAGGGATGTTTCTCCTTGACAAGCCCTTAATGCCAATTTCTATTTGTAAGACCCTCAAAAGATCTGTTTACTTCCATAATCTCTTAGCTCTAGCTTTTTGTCCAGTTTCTCTCCATGCTGCTATTTGCTTATTAGAGAATACCTTGAGAGATGTCAATCAGACTATTGGACCACCTCCATTCTCTGAAGCATCTACAAATCTTTCACCATGAGCTCTCAGTAGCCCTGAACTTTAGTGTTGCTTCCCCAGTTTCATAAGACTACCAGAACCTCTGCTTAGTTTCTCTATTTCTTTGTAGCTATTTTTTGCTAGGCTTCCTAGCTTCCTTATCTAAGGTGTTTTACTAATCAGCCTTGAGAAATTGCCTTGAATGGAAAATCTGTATAGAATGTCTGATTCACCTCAATAAATTTCTCTTGGCCCCTCAAATCTTGGCTGCCTTGGGACTCTCAAACAGATGTCTCTTGTATCTCATCCAGTGTTTATAGTTATTTTCAGTGGGAGAATAATGTAAAACAAACAGGTGTTTTATTATTGGAAGCAGACCTATCTGTATCCTTCTTTTAAACTTGCTTTTTTACTCCAATAGATTATAAACTCTCAGAGAGGAGGAACTTTGTCTTATTTTTTTTTTTCATATTTCTATAATTTCCTCAGCATCTGTCACAGTGTCTGGCTTCTAGTGGTACACAGGGCTTATTGAATGAATTAATAGATGAATAAATGAATGAATGACATGAACATCTAGCATAGGAAGGTCTTGGACCAATAGCCTTAGTTATGACACTTTTATTATGTATTTCAGCAGGTAATGCACCCCCCCCCCCCCCGAATCTAGACTGCAGAAAAGCAGAATAAAGTTAAAACCATCAGGGTCTTCAGTTAAACAATATATTTTAAGGAGATATACTCATCATGGAGCCTTTGTTTCTGATGTTAGGGTGTTAAGGAAGAATAAAACCTCTTCTTGGCCTTCAAAAAACCATGTGGTTTTGTGGTAAGGCAAGTATACAAGTAAACATATCCCAGGGCTAAGTATGAATGAATGAATGAATGAATGAATGAATGAATATCAAAGAGGGAAATTTGATGGATTTTGACTAGAAAATATGGTTGTGGGGAGGATATATGTAGGGAGGAAACAGGCTGAGTGAAGGTGTAAAGAGTAAACATAAAGAGGACATGCCAAGCAGTTTAATTCCATTGCAGCCTCAGAGCGTGAGGAGTTTGAGACAATACTGGCAAAGCCAGCGCCATGACGTCAAGGGCCTTAAATGCTCATCTGAAGACCTTGCACTTGCCTGGACAGGCAGTGTGAAACCACAGAAGGATTTTGAGCAGGAAAATAATATTGGCTCTGTAGTGAAGAATATCATCCTAGAAACTTTGCAAAATACCTTAGAAAGAGAAGAGAGGGGAGGTGAGAATAACTGTCTTTCCTTTGGCTGCCCTCTCCCACCCAACTAGGAACTCAACACCAAACTTCACGACACCCAGAGTCTGGAAAAGACCCTTCTGCTCTACATATTTCTGAAGGTGCTTGATTTTCACAGCCTTAATCTTGTCAAGAACCCACCATGGCTGCTTTCATTACTAAGTCTGCCCTGTAAACCTTGTTTCTCCACCCAAACGGCCCCTGTTTTCCTCCCAAACACACAACTAGCTAATTTCCACCTCTAGACATTTACTGTAGACATTCACCTCTGGAGCCTATTTCTATTTCATAAAAAATTGGAACCTCCTTCTCCCCTCCCTTCCCTAGTGGATGTGGGCCACATCAGCTTGTGCCTGGGTGCTCTTGGGCTCCTTCTTTGGGAGCATCAGGCGTTGCCTCCTTAAATACATTGTTGCTCCTTCAGGGAATGTGTTTATGAATCGTACTTAAAATTTGCTGACCACATTGGAAGAACTCTAGATCAGTTTTTTTTCCTTTTTGATCATTTAAAAATGTTATCATTTTAATTTAAAAACAGAAAAGAAAGAAAAATAGAAAGAGGAAAACAATAGCCCATACTCTTACCCACAATTCTGTAACTATCAATAATATTTTGGTAAATATTTTTCTAGACTGTAGACATAATTTTCTTTTCTTTCTTTAAAAAGTATTTGATTATATTCTATATACACTTTAGTACCCTATTTTTTCTCTTGGTAGTATATTGCAATGCTTTTTCTATTTTATTTCACTTTTTTTTTTTTTAAGTACTATTTAGGTTAATACAGAGTTGTGTTGTCAGGAGGACACATCAAGGAAAGACAGGCTGGATACAATCTCTGTCCTCGAGTAATTAAAAATCGAATATGCAGCACACTGGCTTTAGGACTGCTTTCAAGTTCTGACTCTACCATAGACATAAACAATCTGGATGACCGGGAACAAGACCATTCATTTCTCCAAGTGTCAGATTCCTTTTCCACAAATGGAAGGGTATCACCTTTTGCCTGATGGCACTGTGGGAGAATTAGAGGAGCCGAAGTGCATGAAGTGTTGAGTCTAGTCCCTGGCGTAGGGCAAGTACTCAAAAGATATTGCTGCTATGATTATTATCAGTAAAAGGGAGAATGCATGAGGATACATTGTCAAGCATTGTGCAAGTATCAGGGATGGTTACTATTAAGACGGCATCTGATTTCTGGAACTAAAACAACTCATAAGTAGGTCAAAAATATCTTAAATGTACACTCAGAAATTCATAGTTTAAAAATAACTTTGGGTCTAAATGTATGGTTACTTGACCACAATCCAGAGTTTTAAGCATTCTTTGCTTGACTATCAGAACTACAATGGTCCTTGGGACAGGTCAGTTCCAACAAGATTAATTATATAGACAATTTGACTGAAGTTTTGCTATGGTGAAAGGTTTAATAACTTGGATGCCATATTACTCTGCCTTTGTAGTCCAACATGAAAGAAATTTGGTCAAATGAGAGGGCAGTAAGACAGCTGAGGTTTGGAATAGAAGAGGAAGCCAGACTATAGCTTCCTAACCTTGTGATTTTGGGCAAATTATTTAATTTGCCTCATTATGCTTCATCTATAAAGTGGAAATACTAATACCCAGCTTTGGGAATATGGTTATGCATTTTGGAGATGATGTAGTTTAGACTCCTGACACTGTTACACTGTTGATGCTCACTGGCTATAATTTGCTATCATTAATGCAGGCTGGACTAGTTTTCAGGCAGGCCTACGTGGACACAGCAAGTCAAGGTTTAACATTGCCTTAGAACAGAGGTTGGCAAACTATGGCGTGTGACCCAAATCCAGCCCAACCTGTTTTTGCGAATACAGTTTTATTGAAACACTGTGACACTCACACATTTACATATTGCTTATGTCTGTTTTCATGCTTCAGTGGCAGAGCTGAGTACTTGGGACTGAGACCACATAGCCTGCAAAGTCTAAGATATTTACCATCTGGCCCTTTATAGAAAAGAGACTATTTTTGGTCCTCAAAATCATGGCATGTAATAAAACAGTTGTTAATTTTAAGTCACTGGGTTTTGAGGTGATTTGCTATGTAGCAATAGCTAACCAGCGTAGTAAGAGTGTCTTTGTCACCAAACAAATCAGTCTTTATTTCCTGAAGGGGTTGTATGTGATGATCCTGATGGTATCATCCTGTTTCTTAAATTCTACAACTTGCCCTCTCTTCACCTGAGACCACTCAACTTCCAGTCCAAACTTAAGCAATGGCCTCTGCTTTGTTCTGAACAGAGCCTGCTCCTCACTGGATACTACGGAGTCTGGGCAAGATACCACCACATTATAAAGGACACGAGGTCTACAGCACTGGGCACTGAGGCTCAGCAGTGATCAGGGCCCTGGGCAATCAGCATAGTCGAGGGTGGGAATGGCCATCTAGAACCATATTAAATGCTACATGGGGGCTCTTTCAGTGTTATGAGCAATGCTCATTTGAATAAAGGGAAACTGTTCAAACATCTTAGAGCCAATGGGCCCACTAACAAACCTGGAATCCCCTTGTACTGTGACATAAATCAGTTAGAGGACAAATGAGAGGTACTTAAGAGACTACTAAGAGGAAAGACATTACAAGCCATTAAATGAGTAGCTTAACACTGCTACACACTGACCCGGTGGCTTATAATGGAACCAGGAAAGACACTACAAGTGGTCTGGTGAATTATTCTGATAGCTGGGGAAAAGCATAACTGTCCCAAGGAAGTGAAAGGTAAAAGCTTACACTCAACTGATGTTGATGCATACCACATTTCTGAGCACCAAGCTCACGCTCATGTCAAAAGGTGGGAGTTTGTGGAACTTTCACTCAATCTACTCAGGACACTAAAAAAATTCAAATATAATTCAATTGCAAGGATAAAGTCTTTCCTGATGTCCCCAGGCGGAATGAATTACCCTTTCCAGGACACCCTGGCTATACATCACTTATCACATCCTGTCATGGCTATAGTATTGTTTTATCATCTGTTGTTTACATTTATGTTTCATTTAGATGGTGAATTACACATTGTGGGTTTGAGAGTGGTTTAAAGTCTATCTTTTTCCCATCACCTGATGCATAACAAGCATGTGACAAAGGTTTGGTAAATGACAACGAATACAGGAACAAATGAACAAATGAAAGCATGGATTAATGACGGCATAAACGTGTTGAGTATTTTTGTAGGTGAAAGTGAATGAGCTATGCCAGGATGTAAGTGCTGCTTAAGACTTCAGGAAATTGCTGAAGATACCGCTTTACCTTTTTCGGCCTGTCAGCACTTGTTTGAAAGTGGTGCCACATCTCCAAACCCCTCTTCTCTAGCTGTGCTCTAAGAAAATGGAGTCCTTTGTGAATACGGTTATGAATGTGATGTGTTTTCTGATTAAGGAAATGGTTGAAGGGAAATCATAAATATCAGATAAAGACACCCCCTCCTCCCTTTTCTTTAAAGAACTGGAGACTGCAGAACTGTTTTTGTATACACAGACTACCATGGTCTGTGATTGGGTAGAAGATGTGAGATATAATAGAAAGAATACAGATGGGAGTCGGGCAGACATGGACCTGAAATCTCAGTTTAACCACTTATCAGCAGAATGTGGTACCATCAGAACATGCTCTATAGACCTCCCACTACAAGGGGTGCAACTGACCAAGGCCCCAGCTACTATGCTGACAAATCCAACCCTGTACCTGCAGCGAGACCAGGCTTCCACAGGCTGCTCCTAGCCAGTGACTGGGTGTGTAGCCAAGGAGGCTATGAACTAACTATGAACTAGAAGTAAAAGAGTAAACATGATTGATCTTAAGGGGGTAGCTCTTATGTTCCCCTTGAGGTTTGTGTTTTTAAACCTCATACAAAATACTTGAGAATACCTTTTGGGGCATGTGGTTATTTCACCCATAAACCTTGTTTTTATAGAATTGTTTTTTTAGTCCAACAAAGTCTTAACTGCTTATCCGTGTTAAGATGAACTGGTCTGGTTTACCTATTACATAAGGAATGGGTCAGATAAGTGCAGAGCGTGGTTCAATAGTTACACTCAGTAAAAAGCATACAACTTCAATTAGGACTTGGCCTTTTGAAAATGATCAGTTCCTAAAGACTGAGGCTGAATAGATCAGATTCCTTTTCCTTATAATGCTTTATCTATCCTCAATTCCAGGATAACCTGCATGTTATGAACTACTGAACTTGTTGGCCAATTTTGGCTCTAGGACTTCTTGGTGGCCTCGCTGAACCCTCCTTAGACTGCATGGCATTCCAGGACACTGCCAGTAACCTCCTTTCCCTCCCTCCTTCACGCATGGTCAGACTTGCATCATGGTCGGACAGCTCCCCCAGACTTCCTCCCTATGTCTCCACACAGGTATGTCTCCTAATAAAATCCTTGCATAGTTAATCCTGTCTTGGATTATCTGGACTAATACATGGAGTGAATTTAGACAAGTTACTTCATTTTTGAATCTGTTTCTTCATTTGCAAAACAGTGTTAATAATATCTGTTGCATGGAAGTTGTAAGAATGAATAAATGTGATAATGCATGAGAAGCTCTTAACCCTGGCAAATATAGGTATTTAATAAATGTCACTTTTCTTCCCTTTCACATTTTTTCTTTTCCTTTAAAATGCCCCTAGCAATGGGGTTAAATCGTATTTACCTGTGCACATCTAAGTTGTGGCACCTGGGGACAAATGAAGTCTTGGTGCAATACAATTTTCCTGGTTTAATTATAGTCTGTCCCCAATCTCATTAACTAATTCACGATTTGGGAAAAGTCTTACTTTGCAGACCTCTCTGAAATCTTTGATCTGTTTAATAATGTGGGTTGAAAGGGAAAAAAATAGCTGTAGGGGAAAATCTGATTAAACTTTGTGTACTGGCTTTATTACTTCCTTCAATAAGGTTAATGTCACACTTTTACCTTGTCATCCAATTTCCGTGCATTGAATGCAAGTTCAACATAGTCGTCATTGCCAGATAATTCTTCAGCGATCACCTAAAGGAAAAAGCATGTATCAGCTGCTGTAATGGTTAGACCACTCAGCCCAGGAATTTATGAACAAATTTAGCTCACATTTGGTTCAAAAATCAACAAGACTGATGCTGGGAAAGGCGTTTTCTACAATGCTAATGAACATGGCACAGCATTTCCAGGTGTTCAAGGCAACTCCCTAGACAACAGTAGATCACCAATTTCACTTATGCTAAAGCGTGAGAACATGAGATAGGGTGTTAGTTGGAAGAAGAGATATAGGGAGCAGCAGTTAGGAAGAGCTTCGGTTTTTATGGGTCACCATTGGATAGCAGGTCCATAAACAATTGTGTGTCTATAAGTATGTCCTTTGGAAAGTTGCAAATAAGGAGTAACATTTCTCCACTGCTTTGAGTCAGACCAACAAGGAATGTAGAAATAAACTAGTCCTATGTTCTTACTAGACCAATGATTATATGGCCATCAAAAAAATGTTCTAATTCTTCTTTTTTTAAAAAATACTTTCCCTGGGCTTTCTGAGATGAGGAGAGAAATGGGGGGAGAGAGAGAGAGAAAGAGAGGGAGAGGGAGAGGTAGGAAGAGGGAGAGAGGGAGGGAGAGGGGGAGGAGAGAGAGGGAGAGGGAAAGCCCATTAACTGTCAAGAATAGAATCCCTAACAAGGATTTTGGTATCAGGGAAAAGATAGTATTATGTAAGAGACTCTTTCATAATAAGTCACTTTCCAATATTTAATAGTCAGTGACTCTTAAATCCTTGGAGAGAACTTGGTGAAAAAACTTAGGAGAAAAGTCATAACAACAAAAATCAAGGGACCGACATAGTTACAGATAGGTGCAGCCATTCATAAATAATGTTTAGGGCTTCACCATGCATTCAGAGGCCGAAGTACGTGGATACCCTCATCAAATTGGTTATGTTGTGACACTGAGCTTTAATTAAATTATATCTTCAATCTATCTGAGCTCAACTTTCTCATGATGAGTTGGGTTCACACTGATAGCCTCTGGAAAATTTTATTTTACACCTAATATTAAAGCCAAAAAGTTGCCTAACAAGGGAAGTCACCCCCAAACCTGTGAGCATCTAAGAAGTAGGAAACATGAGTCCAGAAAAACAGTAAAAACTCAAGAACTTCTTGGTAAACCAGGAATCATCCTGTTTAGATTTTCCACTTGGTCCACCTTGGCACCTTATCATCGTAATGCCTCTGACACTCCACTGGAACCGGGGTCTAGAACTGCTTTGTGGTCATAGACATGTTTGGAAAGACTAGGAAAGTTACAATGTTCAGCTGCAGAAGCCTAGAACATTTTGCACATATTTTCAAGTGTTTTCCAAAATCAAATAGAGTCATTGGTTTGATCCAAAAACCTAACACTAGAGGTAATTCAATATTTAAAATTAAGAAGGAGATAAAGTTTCTCTGAAATGTGTATAGGAAGAAAATTTCTAAGATGTCGAAGAGAAAAGGTGGCAAGTTGAGGCTTTGTTCCCATGAGAAAGAACCATGGCAAATCCCCACCTGGGCCTACCACCCAAGGCTTCTCCTGGTCTGTGGGCTTTGGGGGTGAGCCGTTGGGTCCATGGCTTTTTGGAGCACCCATGGGGTCTTCAAAGCCATTTGAACCACTTGTTCATGATTGATCTTGGCAGTCAAGAAAAGTTCTGTCTGGCCAGTGTGGCTCAGTGGTTGAGCGTCAATCCATGTACCAAGAGGTCGCTGGTTCGGTTCCCAGTCAGGACACATGCCCAGGTTGTGGGCCCAATCCCCACAGTAGGGGGCATGCCAAAGGCGGCCAATCAATGTCCTCTCTCATCGATGTTTCTATATCTCTCTCCCTCTTACTTCCTCTCTCTCTAAAATCAATAAAGAAAAAAATATGTATCAGAAAGAAAGAGAAGAAGAGAGAGAGAGAAAGAAAAGAAAGAAAACAAAAGAAAGAAAAAGAAAAAGTTCTGACATGACTGCATCATTTCAACTATTTAAGCAACTAATTCAGGAAAGCTATTGTAAGAATGGTCATTACTTTCACCATTAGGAATTCTTTTGAATTTTTTCTTTAAAAAGAGGCTTTCATTAAAAAAAAAAAATCAGTCACTTTCAAGTTAAAAACAAATGTTTGAAAGAACTCAGGAAGTTTGCCTCCTGGCAATTTGCCTCCCTAGCAATTTAGATTCTTCTGGTACTTTTGTCTACCTTTTATTTTTTTTGGGTCCACACAGCTAATTGATTAGACTACTTTCTCTACCTTTCTCAAAGGCTCTATTACAATATGTCAAGGTTTCCAATATAGAAACATATAAGATTTTGTTTAGAAGGACTTCCAGCATTGCCCATAGAGCATGCTGCAATCACAGAAAACTTCTATAATCTGCACTGTCCAGTAGCTGCTAGCCACATGTAACTATTAAGCTCTTCATATGTGGCTTGTGTGACTAAGCAATAAATATCTCTTTTTATTTCATTTTAAATAATTTTACTTAAGCTTAAATAATCACATGTGGCTAGTGACTCCCAAAAAGGACAATACAGCTCCAAACTATTATATTAAAAAAGAGAGTTATATGCTGAGTGGGCTCTCTGGTCCTTCGGCAACAAATCAACTCTTGGACTAAATATGATTAGAACATATTTTTATTTTTTATATATTTTTAAAATATGTTTTCATTGACTTTTTAGAGAGAGAGAAAGGGAGAAAGAGAAATATCAGTATGAGAGAGAAACATCTATCAGCTGCCTCCTCAAAGCCCCCCACCGGGGATCGAGCCCGAAACCTGGGCATGTACCCTTACCAGGAATCAAACTGGGACTTCTCAGTTCATGGGATGACACTCAATCCACTGAGCCACACTGGCTGGGCAGAGCAAACTTTTAATTTTCAGAAAAATGGGAGACACGGATAGGTGGTTTTGATGATTTGAAAATCCTACCTAATTCCATATTCTTATTGAACTCAGTGACTCCATCTCCATCCTCAACTAAAACCAATGTTGCAATTGCAGAAGTACTTAGTATAAGTAAATGGCTTTACTTTCAGATTGTTTTTTTAAGCCCCTTTTTCCTAAGGGTGAACAGGTCAAAATGGTATTAAAAGAATGGAGAAAGAAAGAAAAACAAAAAGAGGTGGCTTGGATAGTTGAGCAGTCGCAGCATCAACTCCCAATAGCCATAGGGTCTGCGTCCCGCAGTCTGGCTTGCCCCAGCCAGCCCCACCCGCCCCCGGCAGACAGGCGTGTAGGGAGGCTTACCGTGATGGAGGATTTCCCTGCAGTGTTCCCGTGCTTCAGCAAGGATTTGGACAGCTTCCTCTGGGAAACAATCTGCACAAAGGACAGGAAAAGTAGAGACAGGGGTCACGGAACTGCAGGTCTACTTTTCTGTCTTCCCTCTAAAAAATCCTGCATTCACAGTTCTGCCTGAAATGATGACATCTATGTCCATTAATTTTCCACGAACCTCTCCTAAACACAGGTTATTCCCTTTGTCCTGGTATGGCGTGTGATGCAAGAGAATATGTGATGAATCACAGATAATTCAGTCAATTAGGAAGTGGTTTAACTGTTGCTGAGAGATTTATATCAAAAGTAGATGGCAAATATTAGCTATCTGTACATTAAGATAAAGTGGATGAAGTTTCAGAATGATCTCAAATTTGCTCTGAAACCTCTGTGCAAAGTGGGGGGTGGGGGTACAGGGAGGGAAAGAAACCCAAGATCTAAATATACACCTTTGTATCTATTATCTCTAGAGTTTTATTTTTAATATATTCATTAGGCAGCTATAAAGCAAGTTATCAGGAAACCGATGCTCAGACAAGCCACTAGGAGTAATTGAGGTCCTCTCCATGATTAAGTATTAATGCGCAACGTGCAATGACAGTTAAAGTTGTTGTTATATCAGGAGCTATTTTTAGGAGAACCTGCCCCATCCTTCTCTTCCCCCCTTTCTTCCTTTTTTTGAAAGAAAAGTGAGGCAAAGCATTGAAGTCCTGATGGGCATGCTACCTCTGATTCCCAAAGGAGAAAAGGCTTAAAAGAATCAAGTGAAAGCTATGCTCTTGTCTAGAGAGAACAAAGTCACCCCTTGTATTAGGCAGCTTCCATCTAACAAAACACCCAATGAGCCTCAATTCTGGTATTCACCCCACTGTGTAATTCCCTCTCCTTGGGCATGGGATGGACCCAGTGAGTTGGTTCTCATAAACAGAATACTGTGCGTTCGGCTGTGATTTTCTTCTTGATCACCATCTCTCACTCTCTCAGAGCCCCGGGAGAGCAAGCTGCGATGCTGTGAGAAGCCCTAGGGAGCAGCCCACGGCCAAGACTTGATGTCCAGCCAACAGCCGGTGAGAACCTGAGACTTGCCAACAGCCACGCAAGTGAGCTTGGAAGCAGGTCCTCTCCCAAGTGGAGCCGGGATGTAACTCCACAGCAGCCTGTGAGAGATGCTGATCCAGAGGGCCCAGCCATGCTGTCCCCACGCCCCCATTCCCGACACACAGGAACTGGGAGGTGTTTGTTTTTTAAAAGCTGTCAAATTTGAGGGTGACTTTTCAATGCAGTGTTAGGTAACAATACACATATTCTTTACAGAAAGAGAGGAAAGGAGGTCACTGTGAAAAGCAGGAAGACAAAACTATTCTCTGAAATCCGTATACATTTTTGTGTCTGTGTTAGAGCAATGAAAATTCTGAGTGTGTTGGTGTCCAATGCAAAAAGTTCAGAGAACTTCCCTAGGCCAAGCCAATTTAAAGACACTAATGTTTAACTATAACCTGAAGAGGAAAGAGTATTTATATTTTTAAAAATCACCTGTGCTCATGACAATGACAGCAATGGGAACTCCCACTCAAGGAGTACATATAATGTGGCAGGTGCGTTATTCATTTCACAAATATTTGCTTAGCCCTTATTGTGTGCTGGGCTTGGTGCCAGGCACGAAGAATGGAATGGTAAGCAAATTTCTGAACTCATATAGTTTATGTTCTAGTGTGTATGTGTGTGTAAGATAGGAATTTGCCCAATGGTCAAATAAACAAAGAAAACTCGTCACAAAGGAGAGACACACTGGTGGTGGGGTGGATGGGAGTAGACCACGTAAGAATCTCCTGCAGTAGTCCAGGCAAGAGATGATGGTGGCCATGGAGATGGAGAGAAGAGGCTGGATTTATGAGATATGTAGATGTAAAACAGTCAGAACTTTGAAATGGATTGAACACGGAAAGAGAGGGAGGCATCCTAAATGCATCACTGGGTCAGATGGTCCTGCCATTCAGTAAGATCAGGGATATGAGAAGAGGACATTAAGTTTGGGGGCAAAGAACATACGTTCAGGTTTGGAACAGAAAGTAGATTGGAGTAGGGTGCAATGGAGAGGAGGCCGGAAGGAAATGGAGCAGCACACGAAGACAATTCTTTCAGTGAGTTTGGCTATGACGTGGGGAGCAGAGTAATCTGAAGGGAATGAGAAACTGAATAAGGTTTTGAGTTAGTGGTCCCTTTAATGCTAATCTTACAGCCCCACATATTTGGCATTATTTATTTCCTTTTCTAGGTGAGAAAAATAAGGCAAAGAGAGTTTGAGTAACTTTCCCAAGGCCACAGAGCTAAGAGGCAAGGATTTGAATACAGGTCTGGCTCCAGGAAGTGATCTCTACAACCTTCTGACTGGTAAGCAAACTCATGAGACAGATTTAGAACATTTTAATAGCTGGATTTTGTACATGCTTGCTTTGAAGCCCTGGATCCCATGTTGGTGTGCTTAAGCATGGAGGAGACTGCAAATAAATAATCAAGTTAAACCTCAAGAAGGATGTAATCTGAAGGCCTTGGTTAAGAGCTTCAGATTAGCATAATGTGTAGCATAATGATTAAGAACATAGGATTTTTTATTTACAGCTGGCTATCAATAAAATGACATGAAAAATTCAGATGATAAAGGAATTGGCATTCCACCCTGTAGCTATTTCTAAATCGGAACTCCTCACCTTCCTACCCTACTCATTAAGAAGGTGCGGTGGCTCTCAACCTGTAGACAAAATCATTATCCATTCGGCCTCCCCATTGTGAAAGCTACCATTTCCTAGAAAAATGTAGACATTATCCTTGAACTTGAGATGAACCAAAGCACAGAGGAAACAGAAAACAACTGCAAAAGGGCATTAGAAGACTGTAGTTTTTCTCCAGGGGTTTTTCAGCAAGGAGGGATGAGGAAGACAAATGAATAAATGACAAAACAAGGGTCACCAGTAAGCAATAGCCAGGTCAACATCAGACCAAAGAAAGGCAACATCCCTCATTTCCCAAATAAATCTGGTCTTAGAAATACTTCTGTCCATTGTCACTGTGTTTCATCCACATTGGTTACCTACCTGTACGGCTCCAAGTGACACCAACAACCCTCTCAGCACTGTAATAAACCACTCACTGGGTTATCAGGTGTGGGTAGATTGTCCCTACAGACTGTCCTCTGAGATCCACATTATCATTCTTCAGCAAAGACCAAGGGAGACTTAACCCATGAGAGCCTAGATGGTCATAGTTATCTCTCCTCACTCTTATCTAGAAACGCCAGCATTTCCATGTGCAGGGTGTGAAGAGAATGCTACTGTGTTCCAGCTCCTGCCTTTTACAAATTCTAGGAAGATAAGCAATTTCCCAGGAAATATTCCTTCTTAAGAAATGGGCAATTGGGTGTACAAGTGGCCAATCAAGCAGGCAATTAAACTTATTTTACAGCCCCCAGGCCTCCATCTCGGCTCCAGAGAATGAGTGATAATGAGGGTTTCAAACTTTTCCTTGTAATAATGATCAGCAAACAGTGATGCTGCCATTCTCACAACTGCTGGGAAAAATTAGTAAGGATGCCCAGCTGGAGCAGTGACCTATCCCGATGCTCCTATTTGCAAATCCCACTTCTCATGTTTACTTTGTTGCAGCAGAAGCACCTGCATTGGGATCAGAAAGGCCTTAGGTCTTGACAGAGGGGAAGAAAGAGTGACAAGAACTCACCCTGGTCCCAGCTGATCTTTGAAGCCAACAAATAGCTAGCTCTGCCTGGCATCAAGAAGTCCTCGAATTGGATTGTTTTAACCCTTTAGTGAGGTCACGGCTACAATCCTTACCATTCAACGACAGGGTGAAGTATAGGGAGGAGGGAATAGAAGTTGGAATACTCCTTTTAGCAAAGTTGGACCAGAGGGACATTCGTCCCATTAAGTCCCTGATCTGCATTCTCACATGGAGATGGGGAGGAAGTGGTTCTCCCCCTACAAAGCAGACAATATTCTAAAAGCGTAGGTCCTCATTTTACAGAAAAAGCTTACCATTTCATTCTGATGAATGGAAACAAAGCCAGGAGAATAAGACATGTTTTGGCCAATATTTTAACAAGAGTATGTCTATTCAGCTGAATTTCCTTTTTAGTTTTTTCAAAACAGTCATTTTGGCAACTAAACAGTTATTTTTTTGTGAGACCGCTTCTACCGAACATATTTTCAGATGCTTTTTTGAAATTGCTGTAAGACTGTGTTGCAACAACAAAACATTTATTGAAAACTTTCTCTGTACCAGACACTGTTTTGAGGCTAGTGTTAAACAGATTAAAAACATCTTTACTCAGCAGTCACAAGTCTATTAGCCAGAATGGATAATCCCGAAAGCATGTATCAGGGACATTTCATTCCTTAAAAGTTTATACATTGTATAAAAAAGTCTCTGTATAGTAAGTCTGGAAATCACAGGATTGGAATAGTTTGACATCTCAGCTGCAGGAGATCAATAGTTTTAGTGGAAAATCCCCGAGGACAACCATCTACTGAGCACTCCTTACACTTGTTTTGCCCCAGAACCTTTTTGTCAGGCGGCATGTCCAATGTTCTGAAAACTACCAGTAGGATGACGACTACCTAGTGGCTCATTGTGGCAGACAGATCCCCCCAGGCTTTACTATTGCAGAGCTGGCAAGGCATGTCTTTGCCTGAAGGTGTTCTCTGGTATCCATGCCCACTGTCCACAGGCCCAGCAGGCTGGAAGTGGGGATGATTAACACCCTTGGCTGTGGGCCTAACCAGTGACTGATAATAGTTGGTACAGAAATCCCCCAGCTCCTTTGCCCCCGGGGCAGGGGTGACTCTGTGGTGTTTGTTCTATGTAGACACCTGAGTTTCCCGCGTCTGGCATCTCTAGCAGACGAATACACATAGAACATGAGTTAAAGCAGGATTCATTTCTTCGATGAAGTGACAGTGGTTTCCGGGGGTGATCTGTTAGACAATCACGCTTTATTTTATCGGCTGCCTTGTCTTTCCTGTCTCACTTCT